AGAGGAGAATGGAGGAGAAGGGATTGCGGCGTGGCCATCCCCCCTAGGGGGTGATTTCTCGCTTTCTGTCTCTCTGTCTCTGTCTGGCGAGGGCACGCACCCTATAGCAAAAACCTCTCCAAAAAAAAAAAAAGAAGAATTGAGATTAATAAAACATCTTGTGGACTGCACTTCCGACAAAAACTCCCTTTCATATAAAAACTTTTATAATAAATGCTTCTCAGAGATCAGCCCTGCTGATGAACTGACAACCAAGCTTGCTCCTTAACTAACTCATCAGAACGCCCTCTGCCTGGGATGCCGAGACTCGGAAGTTTTACACTTGGTGTCTGTACCATCGTTCGGCTGTGACTTCCGCGTGTAACGTCACCACCACGCTGCCCGCACCCCTCTCCTCTTTCCCCTCACCTTAAAGCAATTCAGCCGTATTGGGCCTCGGACTTCGATATGAGCCACTGTGACTCATTTCAGGAAGGAATGGGATACGAAGAAACAGAAAATAGGCCATTGGAGGAGTATGTGGCATTGGTAATGAAAATATCGCTTAAGCAAACTAAGGGGTGGAAGAAAATAATGGAACAAATGATGAGGAAATTACCTCAGCAGATTTATAAACTACTTTCAGGACCTTAGAAAATGAGTTCCTCGGGACCAGCAGATGGCGTAATGGCTACGTCGCTGGACTCCCATGTAGTCGATTGACGCCCATGTAGTGGTTTGAGTCTCAGACCCGGTGACTTAAACTCACGCGGGTGTGTGCATGCATGCCCAAGATCCCGAGAGGAGACTAGAGAAGAAGGGGTTGAGGCATGGCTATCCCCCCATACCCTCCAGGAGGTGATTCCTCGCTTTTTGTCTCTCTCTGTCTGTCTTTCTGGCGAGTGCACATGCCCTGTAGCAAAAAAAGAAAGAAAGAGAGAGAGAGAGAAAGGAAAAGAGTCCCTCTAGCTGTCCGCCTCTGGGCAGGCAGGAGTATCACACCTGCTCTGTGGGAGGGGTCACAGGCACACCAGGAGCTGGATGCATTTCCCAAGGTCACACTGTGAGGGATGGGATAGGGTCAAGAATCAAAGGTGGGAATCTTCTGGTACAGTGCAAACAGTGCAGCTTTGGAGTCAGAGAGACCTGGGTTTGAATCCTAGCTCAGCTATCTACAGACATGTAGCTTTCCTTAGCCTGGCACCCTTTTTTTTTTTTTTTTTTTTTGGGGGAGGTTTTTGCACTGGGGTGGGTGTCCTTTAGCCCACGG